AGTGGTTGAGGCAATGGTTGAGGCAGTGGTTGAGGCAGTGGTTGAGGCAGTGGTTGAGGCAGTGGTGGAGGCAGTGGTGGAGGCAGCGGTGGAGGCAGTGGTGGAGGCAGTGGTGGAGGCAGTGGTTGAGGCAGTGGTTGAGGCAGTGGTTGAGGCAGTGGTTGAGGCAATGGTTGAGGCAGTGGTTGAGGCAGTAGTTGAGGCAGTGGTTGAGACAGTGGTTGAGACTGGTGGAGGCAAAGTGGAATGATGTGCAAAGCTTTGTGGAGAAATATCACCCTCTCTCCTCCCTATCTTCCAAATGCCATCACCAATCTTCAATAAAGGTGAGTAAAAATGTTATTTTATATGTTTATTTAAATTTTTATTAGTGTATTACTAATTGTACTATGTATGTATGTTGTGTGTATGTAAAACTATAATGTAATCTTTATAAAATGTATTTTTTTGTGAATATTTTTGGGTTTCTGGAACAGATTAATTGTATTTCCATTATTCCTTATGGGAAATATTGCTTTGGTTTTAGAACATTTCGACTTTAGAACTAGCTCCTGGAGCGGATTGAGTTCAAAACTCAAGGTTCCACTGTACCTGTATTATTACAGAATGTGATAAAATAGTTTTATAATAATAATCATCATAATCATCTGTAATTCTACAAGTACATGATACAATTTATACCGACCTAGTTGACATCTGTAACATGCTATATAGAAAACCCCTGGTTATGCAGAGAGTTTTTGGTATCTTAGGTTAATCTTGTCCCTAGGATGCAACCCACACCAGTCAGCTAAATGCCAGGTACAGTGGATGCCCGGTTATCGGCCATAATCTGTTCCAGAAGGTCGGCCGATGACCAAAATGGCCGAAAACCCAATTAATATTTCCCACAAGAATTAATGGAAATACAATTAATCCGTTCCAGACAAAAATATTCACACAAAAAAATAATTTTTTTAACAATTATGTAAGTATTACATACCTTTATTGAAGGCTAATGCTGGCTTCTGGAAGACAGGGAAGAGGAAAGAGGGAGGAGTTAGTGTTTGGAAGGGGAATCCCCCTTCATAAAGACTATGTAGCAAAGCCTTCTCTGGGGTTACTTCCCTTCTTTGTCTTTCAATGCCACTAGGACCAGCTTGAGAGTCACTGGATCCTTTTGCAACATTAGCATCTTTGATTTGTTCTTTCTTTGCCAGGATGGATGTAATTGTTGATTTATTCTTGCTGTTCATCCTGGCAAGTTCCACCACCTTCATACCACTCTCAAACTTTTCTATCACTTCACGCTTAAATTCCATAGTGCTTCTCACTTTCGTTACCACAGGAACTTTCTTTGGAGCCATGGTTACTTATTTCACAGTTGCAATGCAAAAAAAAAAAAACACTAAAAACAATGGAAAACATGCAAAATGTTTGGATGTATGAGCAGAAGCTTCCTCAGCCACCGAGAGACAAAGCCAAACTGACGCGCAAGTGGCCCCAGCCGGCAGATGGACGCATCCCAAATGGCCAATCACCGAATTAACGGCCGATAACCAGGCACCAAAAAACTGGCCGATAACCAAGTTGGCTGATAACAGAACCGGTCGATAACCGGGGGTCCACTGTACCTACTTGCTGCTAGGTGAACAGGGACAGCAGGTGTAAGGAAACATGCCCAATGTTTCAACCTGTACTGGGGATTGAACTACGGATGCTCAATTACATATATGTACAGTGTATAAGACAGTAATTTTCACAGTAGAAATGATTCGTTGAGAATGGCTCACACTCACACGAGCTTTTAAATCTCTGCACAAAATTCAATTTAAACCAGCAAATAATAGAGCCTACTAGACTGGAGAATACACTAGACCTCATCTTCACTAACAATGATGATCTGATAAGAAATGTCACCATATCAAAAACAATATACTCAGATCACAACATAATTGAGGTTCAGACATGTATGCGTGGAGCCCCAGACTGACATAATGAGACTAGTCACGAGGGAGCATTCACCAAATTCAACTTCAATAACAAAAACATAAAGTGGGACCAAGTAAACCAAGTCCTAACCGATATAAGCTGGGAAGATATACTAAGCAACACAGACCCCAGCTTATGCCTAGAACAGATTAACTTGGTGGCACTCGATGTATGCACAAGGCTTATTCCTCTAAGAAAAAGGAGGAGTAGATGTAAAATAGAAAAAGACAGGCGCTCCCTTTACAGGCGACGGAAAAGAATAACAGAGCGGCTAAAAGAGGTCAATATATCTGAAATGCGTAGGGAGACACTGGTCAGAGAAATAACAAGCATCGAACTTAAGCTAAAGGAATCTTATAGGAGTCAGGAATCGCGGGAAGAACTAAAAGCCATAAATGAAATCGAAAGAAACCCAAAGTATTTCTTCTCCTATGCCAAATCAAAGTCGAGAACAACGTCCAGTATTGGGCCCCTACTTAAACATGATGGGTCCTACACAGATGACAGCAAGGAAATGAGTGAGCTACTCAAGTCCCAATATGACTCGGTTTTTAGCAAGCCGCTAACCAGACTGAGAGTCGAAGATCAAAATGAATTTTTTATGAGAGAGCAACAAAATTTGGTTAACACAAGCCTATCCGATGTTATCCTGACGCCAAATGACTTCGAACAGGCGATAAATGACATGCCCATGCACTCTGCCCCAGGGCCAGACTCATGGAACTCCGTGTTCATTAAGAACTGCAAGAAGCCCCTATCACGAGCCTTTTCCATCCTATGGAGAGGGAGCATGGACATGGGGTGTCGTCCCACAGTTACTAAAAACAACAGACATAGCCCCACTCCACAAAGGGGGCAGTAAAGCAACAGCAAAGAACTGCAGACCGATAGCACTAACATCCCATATCATAAAAATCTTTGAAAGGGTCCTAAGAAGCAAGAACACCACCCATCTAGAAACCCATCAGTTACACAACCCAGGGCAACATGGGTTTAGAACAGGTCGCTCCTGTCTATCTCAACTATTGGATCACTACGACAAGGTCCTAAATGCACTAGAAGACAAAAAGAATGCAGATGTAATATATACAGACTTTGCAAAAGCCTTCGACAAGTGTGACCATGGCGTAATAGCGCACAAAATGCGTGCTAAAGGAATAACAGGAAAAGTCGGTCGATGGATCTATAATTTCCTCACTAACAGAACACAGAGAGTAGTTGTCAACAGAGTAAAGTCCGAGGCAGCTACGGTGAAAAGCTCTGTTCCACAAGGCACAGTACTCGCTCCCATCTTGTTCCTCATCCTCATATCCGACATAGACAAGGATGTCAGCCACAGCACCGTGTCTTCCTTTGCAGATGACACCCGAATCTGCATGACAGTGTCTTCCATTGCAGACACTGCAAGGCTCCAGGCAGACATCAACCAAATCTTTCAGTGGGCTGCAGAAAACAATATGAAGTTCAACGATGAGAAATTTCAATTACTCAGATATGGTAAACACGAGGAAATTAAATCTTCATCAGAGTACAAAACAAATTCTGGCCACAAAATAGAGCGAAACACCAACGTCAAAGACCTGGGAATGATCATGTCGGAGGATCTCACCTTCAAGGACCATAACATTGTATCAATCGCATCTGCTAGAAAAATGACAGGATGGATTGTATCAATCGCATCTGCTAGAAAAATGACAGGATGGATAATGAGAACCTTCAAAACTAGGGAGGCCACGTCCATGATGACACTCTTCAGGTCACTTGTTCTATCTAGGCTGGAATATTGCTGCACACTAACAGCACCTTTCAAGGCAGGTGAAATTGCTGACCTAGAAAATGTACAGAGAACCTTCACGGCGCGCATAACAGAGATAAAACACCTCAATTACTGGGAGCGCTTGAGGTTATTAAACCTGTATTCCCTGGAATGCAGGCGGGAGAGATACATTATTATATACACCTGGAAAATCCTAGAGGGACTAGTACCGAACTTGCACACGAAAATCACTCACTACGAAAGCAAAAGACTTGGCAGACGATGCAACATCCCCCCAATGAAAAGCAGGGGTGTCACTAGCACGTTAAAACCCCTACAAAAGTGCAGGGGCCCAAGACTGTTCAACCCCTCCCCAACATAAGGGGATTACCAAAGCCCCCTGGCAGTTTCAAGCGGGCACTGGACAAGCCCTAAGTCGGTTCCTGACCAGCTGGGCTGTGGCCTACGTTGGTTTGGTGCACCCAGCGCAAAGCCTGGTTGATCAGGCTCTGACCCCCAGGAGGCCGGTCCAGCCCGGGGGCCGGGGGGGCGTGCCCCCCCAAAAACTCTTCCGGAAAAAACTCCAGCAAACTCCAGGTATATATGGACAGTAAAATCCTAGAAAGGTAATGAAAAAAAGAATAGTTGAATTTTAAAATTTTTTTGAAGTAAAAGGGTAATTCAAAAATAAATTCAAATTAAATTTATGATAGGAATAAACTAGTTACAAGAAGTGATTATATATGAAAAAATTGTTGTCGGTTTACTTAAGTAAGGAGGTGTTTTTTAACAGAGCTTTGAAGGGTTTGATTGCGGGGAAACTTTGGGGAATTTTTCAGGAAGGAGTTTAAAATTTTAGGTCCTTTTATGTGCATGATTTTTTTTTAAAAGGTTTAAATTGGACATGGGGAAATCAAGAGTTTTTTGACCTTGACTTTCCGTAATATATTTTAAAATTTTTTGAAGAAAAAATGAAAATTTACAAATGAATAAAGGGAAATCTTTATTTGGGTAAATTTTTGTGGAATTTAAATTACTATTTCCCAAAAAGAAAATTTTTTGATATCTTTAGTCAGTGAGAAACAGGAAGTGGTTACAGCTTTTTTTAATTTTTTTCCCCACTGAATTCTTCAGGTTAAGGATTTCGGGTGCGGTTTGTGTTTTCGGCGATATCACAATAAAAGGCGTTTTCCCTTTCCCCATACCTGATGGTGTGTCTTGCCCGGAGGGATTTTACTATCAAAGGAAAACTAATGAAGCCCAAGTCTCAATGATGGCTGGTAAGACTCACTAAGTGCAAGTTTCTCTTAAGTTCTGGGCTATTTGTATTTTTGGAAAGCGCCCCAAACATGTTTTTTTTGTCTGCAATTTTTACTTACAATTAACCCCTTTACGGTCCAAACGATATATCATCTACGCTAGTCCCCCAAAAGTATTAACATTTTATTTTTCCTCCCTTCAAATTTGGCACGATTGGCCGAGATGCCTGATCGCATAAAAAGGGGTCTTAACATCGGTTTGCCCATTTTAAAAAAAAAATTGGGGACCATTAGTCCCTTGTGGAAGCATCAGCTAAATTGAGCCCCAAAGTAGAGCAAGCACTGCAGAAAACACCGGGGATTACTGAGAATTGTCACATTAACACTCCCCTTTTTAAGAGGAAAGGATGTTAACCCCAAGTTTGGGTCTGTCTTCGCACTGCATCTGTCTTATCTCTTTATCTGTCTCGTAGGTACACACAAATACAATTATACATAGCGTAAATTTCTAGGATAACCAAAAAATCCAAAAAGCGTACTGTCTTTTAGATATAAGCATAAAAATACCTGTTGGTTCCGTGGTTCTCTGACAGAGGAGAGGACAAGCAGTGAGACGGGAAAGAACAAACACAGAGAGACAAAACAGAGAACAGGTTTAAACAGAGACAGAGTACGAGCACCAAAAGCCCCCCCACTCTGCACCCTCCTGGCGCCCATCAATGTCTCCCCTTTTCTTACTTGCATATCTCTCTTATCTCTGCACCCTATGGCATCATAAATGTCATCCCCCTTTTTTTTTTTTTTATTTCCACTGGCCCATTCTCACCAAGCAGGGGGCCCGAAAAAGAAAAACTTTTACCCTCATTTACCCTTCACGTCTTGCCAGAAAGGGGCTTACACTACAGTTTTTTTAAAATGCAACATTAAAAAACCCCCCCTTCAGAGTGCAGGGGCTTACTTCCCATCTCAGGACTCAATCCGGCCCCCGGGTTTTCCCCAAAAACCCTTTTAAATGTTACTTTGCTCCACTCCAAAGCACTCAAGTTTAAAAACCATTTGTCTCCATTTACCCATCAAACCGTCACGCAGCCTGCTGCAAGTCCAAGCTCCTCGCACACAAAACCTCCTTTCCCCCCCCCTCCAACCCTTTCCCAGGCCGACCCCCACCCCGCCCTTTTCCTTACAGACTGATACATTTGAAGTCACTCTGTTTCGTCCATTCTCTCTACTGTGAACACCCAAAAACCCTTCTCAGCCCTTGGACAAAAGTTTTGGAATCCCGCACCCCTCCCAACTTTCCAAAATACGTTCCGCATCATATTCACACCACACATTGCCCTCAGAATGAAAACTCCACTGCCTCCAGCCTTCTCCTGCTGCAAATTCATCACCCTGCTTCACACCTTAAAAGATTGGTAAAATTACTCTATACATTCCCCCCTTTGCCTCCAAGGCAGACTCCTAAGTGCATGTCCCCTTTTCCCTCATCAATTCTTTATTACCCATCTTATAACCCACCCGGGGCAGGGCCACTCCCAAATATCTGAATACATTCCGGCTCCCTACTCTTTCCCTCCAATCTGATATCCAAACTTTCATCAGTAATCTTTTTTGTTATCCTCATAAATTACTCTTTCCTGTATTCATTTTTAAATTTTTTTCTTTGCACCCCTACCAAATTCATCCACCAATTCTGAACTTCTCTTCAGAATCTCCCAAGAGCACAGTGTCTCACAAAAAAGCAACTGGAACTCCCACTTTATGTGTGATTCTTTATCTTTTAACTCCACGCCTCTTGCCAAGACCCTCGCATTTACTTCTCTTACAACCCTATCTAAAAATATATTAAACAACCATGGTGACATCACACATCCTTGTCTAAGGCCTACTTTTACTGGGAAATAATTTCCTCTTTCCTACATTACTCTAACTTGAGCCTCACTATCCTCGAAAAAACTCTTCACTGCTTTCAGTAACCTACCTCCTACACCATACACCTGCAACATCTGCCACATTGCCCCCCTATCCACCCTGTCATACGCCTTTTCCAAATCCATAAATGCCACAAAGACCTCTTTAGCCTTATCTAAATACGGGTTCACTTATATGTTTCACTGTAAACACCTGGTCCACACACCCCCTACCTTTCCTAAAGCCTCCTTGTTCATCTGCTATCCTATTCTCCTTCGTCTTACTCTTAATTCTTTCAATAATAACTCTACCATACACTTTACCAGGTATACTCAACAGACTTATCTCCCTATAATTTTTGCACTCTCTTTTGTCCCCTTTGCCTTTATACAAAGGAACTATGCATGCTCTCTGCCAATCCCTAGGTACCTTACCCTCTTCCATGCATTTATTAAATAATTGCACCAACCACTCCAAAACTATATCCCCACCTGCTTTTAACATTTCTATCTTTATCCTATCAATCCCGGCTGCCTTACCCCTTTTCATTTTACCTACTGCCTTACGAACTTCCCCCACACTCACAACTGGCTCTTCCTCACTCTTACAAGATGTTATTCCTCCTTGCCCTATACACGAAATCACAGCTTCCCTATCTTCATCACATTTAACAATTCCTCAAAATATTCCCTCCATCTTCCCAATACCTCTAACTCTCCATTTAATAACTCTCCTCTCCTATTTTTAACTGACAAATCCATTTGTTCTCTAGGCTTCCTTAACTTGTTAAACTCCAAAACTTTTTCTTATTTTCAACAAAATTTGTTGATAACATCTCACCCACTCTCTCATTTGCTCTCTTTTTACATTGCTTCTCCACTCTCTTAACCTCTCTCTTTTTCTCCATATACTCTTCCCTCCTTGCATCACTTCTACTTTGTAAAAACTTCTCATATGCTAACTTTTTCTCCCTTACTAGTCTCTTTACATTATCATTCCACCAATCGCTCCTTTTCCCTCCCGCACTCACTTTCCTGTAACCACAAACTTCTGCTGAACACTCTAACACTACATTTTTAAACCTACCCCATACCTCTTTGACCCCATTGCCTATGTTCTCATTAGCCCATCTATCCTCCAATAGCTGTTTATATCTTACCCTAACTGCCTCCTCTTTTAGTTTATAAACCTTCACCTCTCTCTTCCCTGATGCTTCTATTCTCCTTGTATCCCATCTACCTTTTACTCTCAGTGTAGCTGCAACTAGAAAGTGATCTGATGTATCTGTGGCCCCTATATAAACATGTACATCCTGAAGTCTACTCAACAGTCTTTTATCTACCAATGCATAATCCGACAAGCTACTGTCATTTCGCCCTACATCATATCTTGTATACTTATTTATCCTCTTTTTCTTAAAATATGTATTACCTATAACTAAACCCCTTTCTATACAAAGTTCAATCAATCAAAGGGCTCCCATTATCATTTACACCTGGCACCCCAAACTTACCTACCGCACCCTCTCTAAAAGTTTCTCCTACTTTAGCATTCGGGTCCCCTACCACAATTACTCTCTCACTTGGTTCAAAGGCTCCTATACATTCACTTAACATCTCCCATTATCTCTCTCTCTCCTCTGCATTCCTCTCTTCTGCAGGTGCATACATGCTTATTATGACCCACTTTTCGCATCCAACCTTTACTTTAATCCACATAATTCTTGAATTTACACATTCATATTCTCTTTTCTCCTTCCATAACTGATCCTTCAACATTACTGCTACCCCTTCCTTTACTCTAACTCTCTCAGATACTCCAGATTTAATCCCATTTATTTCCCCCCAATGAAACTCCCCTACCCCCTTCAGCTTTGTTTCGCTTAGGGCCAGGACATCCAACTTCTTTTCATTCATAACATCAGCAATCATCTGTTTCTTGTCATCCGCACTACATCCACGCACATTCAAGCATCCCAGTTTTATAAAGTTTTTCTTCTCTTTTTTAGTAAATGTCTACAGGAGAAGGAGTTACTAGCCCATTGCTCCCGGCATTTTAGTCGCCTCATACGACACATATGGCTTATGGAGGAAAGATTCTTTTCCACTTCCCCATGGACAATAGAAGAAATAAAGAAGAACAAGAGCTATTTAGAAAAAGGAGAAAAACCTAGATGTATGTATATATATATGCATGTGCGTGTCTGTGAAGTGTGACCAAAGTGTAAGTAGGAGTAGCAAGATATCCCTGTTATCTAGCATGTTTATGAGACAGAAAAAGAAACCAGCAATCCTACCATCATGCAAAACAGTTACAGGTTTCTGTTTCACAGTCATCTGGCAGGACGGTAGTACTTCCCTGGGTGGTTGCTGTCTACCAACCTACTACTATCTCATCTTATCTCTGCACCCTCACTGGCACCCATCAAATGTCATCCCTTATCTCATCTTATCATTGTCCTCCCGGATGCTTGTCACTGACACTTGTCTTATACATTGCTTCAAAGGAACTTCTTCCTTCTTCCTCCTCCTCCTTCCTTCTTCTTCTTCTATACTCCCGTGTATCCAAAACATTGCTGGGACCTATAAATACTTTGTATATATTCCTAGACAATAGTAAATGACCAAGGCAGGTGTAAATGTCCACCTGTCAATGTGTGTGTGACAGTGTGAGTACAATTTCAGTACCTAATGTTAGTGTCAGAACAAAGATTGGTTATGAAGTGACAAGAACTTCAGTAAATTGTAATTATCAGGACATAAAAATTATAAAATAATATAAAAATGAGAAAAAATGGTATATTGGCAACACTTCTGCAAGCGGCAGGACTCGATGTTGCTGTCAAGTGAGCATTAACCCTTTGGGGGTTGCCAGGCCCTCTCAGAGACTTGTTCTCAGGGTTGCCAAAATTTAAAAAAAAAATTATTTTTTCTTATGAAATGATAGAGAATCTTCTCCCGATCATAATGACACCAAAAGTATGAAATTTGATGAAAAACTTACGGAATTATGCTCTCACGAAGTTAACGGTCTCAAAGATGTTTATGCATCGGCGATTTTGCCCACTTTTAGCCCTATTTTTGGCCAATTCCAGTGTGCTAGTCGACAAAAATCATAACTATTTCGCTAGAACTCCATTTTTTCTATCGAATGAGCATAAGAAACCACCCATTTACCGATTTCAACTATCCAATAAAGTGGTCAGAATTTAGCAATTTTGCCAATTTCACACAAATTTCAAAAGATGCCAATTTTCAAATAGGGTCCAAAATAAACAAGAAAGACATACCTGGCACTAAAATAACTAAATTTCCTTTGTTCATTAGTCATGTCCCCACGCCCCTCTTATGTTTCTTTTGCTTTCCACTTTTGATTTTTTATTCTCACAAAAAAAATAAGATTTACTGTTATGCAGACTACTTCATTAGTGTAGAAATGTAGAAATGGTATAAATAATATTGGTGCACTTGTGAAAGAATATTAGACTCACCAGTTGATGTGTATTGGACGCTTAGCATGATTTGTTTACTTTTGAACTTTGGTAAAAATCGAACATTTCTGCTACTTTGAGCTAAATTTCAAGGTACTTTTCATTGTAAAACCAGTCAAAATCATCTCAGTTTCTGTAATATGTCTTCCATTCTATACAATGAGACCAAGAAAACTAGAATACAACAATAAATACCATACGAAAATACGGTGCAAAATCGGTTTTAAACCAAAAACACGGTCAAAGTTTTTTTTTCTCATTACGCACTGTGTGCTGCAGGATTCTTTTTATACTGCGCACACTGACCACATAGACCCATTCTTTCATATGTAGGTCTGCCAGCTTTCTCTTGCTAGATTTGAGGGCGCTAGAATTTATGTGTACTAGTATGTCAAAAACCCTGGTGCGTAAGCCGTACTAGTATGGCTGAAACCCCGAAAGGGTTAAATGCCAACTTTGCAGCCTCATATCTCAGTAAGTACTGACCCTTATTTTTTTTATTTTAATTACCTGGAGTTTACCTGGAGAGAGTTCCGGGGGGTCAACGCCCCCACGGCCCGGTCTGTGACCAGGCCTCCTGGTGGATCAGAGCCTGATCAACCAGGCTGTTGCTGCTGGCTGCACGCAAACCAACGTACGAGCCACAGCCCGGCTGATCAGGAACTGACTTTAGGTGCTTGTCCAGTGCCAGCTTGAAGACTGCCAGGGGTCTGTTGGTAATCCCCCTTATGTGTGCTGGGAGGCAGTTGAACAGTCTCGGGCCCCTGACACTTATTGTATGGTCTCTTAATGTGCTAGTGACACCCCTGCTTTTCATTGGGGGGATGGTGCATCGTCTGCCAAGTCTTTTGCTTTCGTAGTGAGTGATTTTCGTGTGCAAGTTCGGTACTAGTCCCTCTAGGATTTTCCAGGTGTATATAATCATGTATCTCTCCCTCCTGCGTTCCAGGGAATACAGGTTTAGGAACCTCAAGCGCTCCCAGTAATTGAGGTGTTTTATTTCCGTTATGCGCGCCGTGAAAGTTCTCTTTATTTCAGTGAAAAAAAAAACTATTTTTTTATTTTTAAAAATATTCGGGTCACTGGGCAAGAGGATGTATATATACATTTGGACCCTTTAGGGGTTAATAATGGTCTAGAATGAACCAAAATATTGTCTGCTTTCATCTCCAATTTGTTGGTTAGTTGTGGATTGCTGTACTTTTGATTAAAAAATACAGTGGACCCCCGAATTACGATATTAAATCATTCCAGAAGTCTGTTTGGGTGCCGCTACCGAACGAATTTGTTCCCATAAGGAATATTGTAAATTAAATTAGTCCGTTTCAGACCCCCAAAAATACACATACAAAAGCACTTACAAAAATACACTTACATAATTGTTTGAGTTGGGAGCTGATCGTAAGGCGGGGATCCACTGTACTGCATTGCCTACAGTAAGGAGTGTATAAACAGACTGACTAAATTTTGTGGGGATGGAGGATGCATTTATGGTTGTGAATGGATCTGGCTCCAAGCACTTGGAGCTCCACGCCTTTTCATCAGGTCAAATCTGATTGCCTCCCAATCTACAGGCACTGTATTAATTGGAGCTCCCATTCCCATTAGATAAAACCTGATTACTCCCCACTTGTCCCATTTTGTAGGTACTCAGTAATCTTTACTGATGAAATAAAGATGATGTAATCAGTCCATCAACCTTGGAGAAACAGTATTTGAGGTGGTCAGTCCAAGTTTTTGCGCTTTGCCATGAATAGAAGAATACTAATAATATGACCCCTATGTATTTAGCACTTCCCTCTGAATATAATAATAATTTAGTAAAGAGAAACCCTAGCTTAGAAAATGTTTGGTATTGTAGAAGATACAGTATAAAATGTTTGAAGTATACTTGTGTACTAGACATGTAAGTTATTCATAAACACGTATTTCATCAGGTCAGTTGCCACATAAACACAAGGTAGTGATTGCTGGAAACCATGATAGACTCTTTGACAAGAATTTCTGGCAGGTGCCAGCTGACCCCAAGAGAGTCTTGACAAATGCCACATACCTGCAGGACCAGCACACCACAATATATGGCATCAAAATTTATGGTGCACCTTGGTAAGAACAAGAGTAATTGATGGATGAAACTTGATAAACTGAACAATCTGGAGGGTATATTTTTTTAATTTTCTAATTTTCAGAACCACCAATTCAAAGAGCTCTTTTTATTACTTATTACTAAGTAAGATACAAACCACTGTACTTCATATAGGAAGTGATGTTAATCTGCCAGTCATCAATCTTAAGTTCAGTTTACCTTTCTTAATCCTACTTTCCTTAAATATAGGTTGACCATCACTAATCCAGCACCACCAGGACCTGTAGGGTGCTGGAATAGTGAGAAATCGCTGATGCGGAATTTATGCATTGGCACCATCAGGACCTGTAGGGGGCCAGATTAGTGAGAAATCACTGATGCTCAAATACCGCATTGGTGATTTCACCCACTTTACTCCCTATTTTTAGCCCATTCCATTGTTCAAGTCTACCAAAGTCATAGCTATTTTGCTAGTATTCCTTCTATTCTGTCGATTGAGTACAAGAAACTGCCCACTTACCCATTTCAACTACCCAATAAAGTGGTCAGAAATTGGTAACTTGGCCAATTTCACACAAATTTCAAGAGATGCTAATTTTAAAATAGGGTCTAGAATAAACAGTGCAGACATTCTTGGCACTAAAATAACATTTTCTCTGTTCATTAGTCAGGCTCCTCTTATATTATGCTTGCTTTCCATTTTAAATTTTTATTCACACAAAAAATGGAAGATTTACTGTTATGTAGACTACTGCATTATTGTGATAATTGTATAAATAATGTCAGCTCATTCGTGGTTGCGTATTAGACTGGCTAGCTGGACACGTATTGAATGGTGACTTCGTTTGTTTACACCTGAACGTCGGCAAAAATATGACATTTCTGTTACTTTCAAGGTACTTTCCGTCGCGAAACCAATCAAAATCATATCTATTTGAAAATGAAACTTCCATTCTATCAAATGAGATGAAAAAAGAGATTACAACCATAAAAACCATGCGAAAATGCACTGCAAAGTTGGTTTTGCACGAAAAACACGGTCACAGTTTTCTCATTATACACTGCGTGCTGCAGGATTTTTTTTATATAGTGCACATTTACCACACAGACCTTTTCTCTCATATATAGACCCAAATTTACATGTCATAACTTATCTGAGTGAGCTGAGCTCATGGCGACTGACAGTAGCTTCAAAACCACCTTATCTTTTATGTACAGTGTACGGTGTATGTGCTTTACACAACGAGAAACATTTCTTTTATTTGTTGGAACCATGGCTAGAGCTGAAAGTGAGCAAGTTATAGCAATAAATGGAAAAAAAGAAATTAGAATGACTTATGTAGCAAGTAGCACCACCAAACAGTAGCAGCAGGTTGGTGTGGCAACTCCTGAAATTTAAAATTATGCTAGCCAAAATTATTGCCGGATTACTGATGGAACCAGATTACTGTTTGCCGAATTGGTGATGGTTGACCTGTACATGTTTCTTGTGTAATAAAATATGACCTGATTTATATATCAATTTTCTAATCACTCTTGATTCTGTTTAATGGAACTTTATGTTTATGTTCAGCATGGTGACAGTGAAGAGTCAGCATGTTTCTAGTCAGTGTCATGTATTCATAAGAAACAAGATAAGCAGTTCTTACCCAATATAAATTTTTGTCTTTTTAATGGAAATGTTTGTTTGGGTAACACATTTTTAATTTTATAAGCATTCTGGATTTTTGTTATTTATGCTTTAGTGAATTTAAACATGGTATTATAGAAGTCCAGACTTCGAAACATGCATAACAGAAGTGTTTGTCACTATAAAATTTATCCCTGAAACTCAACCTTGGATTTGTGGTAGTAGTAGTAGTCTGTTCAGCACTTTTTGTAGTATAAAATGATATACCACCAACAGAAGTAAGATGGAAAACCAAGTAAATAGGATCTAGATCAATCTAATATGCTGTGAAAAGTCTTCTGATGCTGGACTCTCCTTTCAGTAATTTTTGTTGTCATCACTGAATAGAATTCCTTTTGCTAGAGATTTAGGCATAGGAAAACACTGCATACTAAGATTATCATACCCTCCCAGAAAACTGCACTTATAGAGTACAGCTTCTCGTGTTGAAGCAGATTAATGCTTTTCCAAAAATGATCAAGTTAAGGAAGACTGTAGATCTTACTCCCTCTATCAAGTAAAAAAGTAGTTATTGCAATCTTCAGAGCAAGGCTGAATTTTACAAGGTTACTGATAATTTTGACCAAGAATAACTCATTTATGTTTAACCCTTTCAGGGATTCCAATGTACTAGCACGGCTTAATCATCAGGGTTTTTAACGTACTAGAACGCCTAAATTCTAGCACCTTCAAATCTAGTGAGAGAAAGCTGGTAGGCGTACATATGAAAGAATGGTCTATATGGTCAGTGTGCACAGTATAAAAAAAATCCTGCAGCACACAGTGCATAATAAATAGGGCACATGACTACAACACAAGACACAGATCTCTCTTTGATATACCTCGTGGTGAGGTTGTGACCAAAACTAATGACCATACTATCAGTAATAGTGAGGAAAACCCAGACGACCCTCAGCTTTCCACCTCTGCTGCTGGGCCGTCTTGTGTTCATGTTCAGTTGTACCAGAATCAAAGAGGAAAGTCCTATTTTCCCAAATCCCAGACTTAGATGTGAGCATTGGTGATGATAGTGATAGTGAATATGAACTACAAGCTCTTGAGAACAGTTCCAGTAGTGATAGTGAAGTGGAATATTCTCCAGTGAAGCGTCAGTATATACGACGATATATGTGCTCTGGTAGTGTGTCATTATACTGTCTGTCTCTGTATTCCTCAATAAGTGGACAATTAAGCACATAGTGTTCAAGAGAGTGACCATATGCCTGATCACATAATTTACATTTAGTTTGATCATCATCTGTGTGTCTCCCAAACTGCCAGAAGTACTTGTAACCAAGCCTAAGCCTGGCCACTACAACATCAGTCAGTCTGTTCACATTGCAAGTTGCTCCATAAACATGCTTATCTACGTTCAGTATAATAACCTATGTGACATGTCAAGATATCTTATTAATGAAAATAAGATACCAGATCTACTAAGCAAATTTCCTAAATTTGCTTGTAACAGATAAGTGAACTATAGATATGTAGATATAAATCCATATGTATTCCTATTAACCCTTTGGGGCCTAGTTCCTAGGCCTTTTGTTTATCCATATGCTCTCGCGCTACCGTCCACAGGATGGATATGGGGTGCACAATAAACTAGCCACTTCGGTGGCAAAATCTAAAATCTGGTAGTGTGTCATATGCTATTCCAAGGGGAAGGAGTACATCTCCAAGTACATCCCGTGGCTGTACAACAGGAACAGACAGTGAAAATGAAGATGATAGTGTTGTAATTGGGATGGAAAATGTGCATGATGGTGGTAGTGGTGGTGCCGGCCATGAGGCACTAGCAGTGGGCCATCCTGCCACCCACGCTGCCACCCACGCCGCTGCCTCAGCTGATCTACAACAAAGGCCACCATCCCCCACCCACCCACCACACCAGCCTCCACAACCACAACCTCCACAACTACAACCACCTGTCAATGTCCAGTACCCACCAGCAGACTGCACCTGGGATTGGCAGGAAGCTGCCAATTTTGTTCCAAATCCCCACCAGTTTGATGAAAGCCAAAGTGGAATATGGCCATGTTGTACACTGGGGAACAATGCCAGTGAACTGGAATGTTTCGAGTTATTCTTTGACGAACCCCTGATGGAAATTATTGTCAGGAAAAGCAACAGATACTACGAGTACACCATGGCAAACACAATACTTTCACCAAAATCACGTCTACACAAGTGGAAGGAGACAATTGTGGCTAAGGTGTATCTTTTGTTTGCCACAATAATGCTTATGCCACATGTGTATAAGCACACTGTGAAATCATACTGGTCAACAGACTGCCTGATTGCAACCCCAGATTTCAGTGATATAGTGGGAGTGAATCGATTTGTGCTACTATTACGTATGCTTCACTTCTCAGACAAAACCAGGCCTGACAGAAACGACAAGTTATGTAAGATTAGGAATGTGTTTGTGTATCTGAAAGAGAAATTCAATATGTATTTTTATCTCTTTAGGAAGCTTGTAATTGATGAGTCTTTGATTCTGTTCAAAGGAAGACACTTTCAAGCAGTACATACCAAGCAAGAGGAAATGCTTTGGTATAAAGTTGTTTGTGCTTTGTGATTGCTACAGTGGTCTTGTATTGGATATTATTGTGTACATTGGAAGTTATACATTGCAAAATACCAGGAAGTTATTGGGCATCTCTGGTGATGTGGTTAGAACAATGATAGAACCATACCTTGGTAAGGTATGGCATATATTATATACTGATAACTGGTACACAAGCCCCTCACTCAGTGATTTTTTGTGAGTGAACATGACAGATGTGTGTGGCACAGTACGTGCAAATTGTAAACATATGCCCAGGTTTGACGCTGGCACTCGTAGAGGTGAGGTGCAGGCGTTTGCTGCCAATGACATCATGGCATTTCGGTGGCATGACAAACGAGATGTCACGCTGTTGTCATCAGTTCACCCTAACGAAATGAAAAACACTGGCAGGCAGCATAGAGACAGCAATGAACCCATTCTAAAACCTGCAGCTGTGATTGATTACACCCTCAATATGCACTCAGTGAACAAATGTGACATGCAGATTGGGTTTGCTGATTGTGTTCGCAAGAGTTATAAGTGGTTCATAAAACTCTTTTTCCATCTTCTGGACATTTCCATGCTCAATGCTTATAATATGTATAAGATGAAGACCAGAAACAAACCACCATATGGTGAATTCTGTTTGTCTGTCATCAGACATATAGTATTCAAGTACCAAGGAAAAACACCTGCAATAGAAAACCGCCCACTAAATTATCAACAACTACTTTCTCGTTTGAAGCATGGTGATCACTTCCTAATAAAACTGCTCAAGAAAAAGGCTCAGAAGAGGTGTT